TTAAAGAACCTTCCTTTAGTTGTCTGATGACACAATACACATCGTTCTCACCTTCCCAAATGCTCATTACAACCACAAAGAAGCTGCTCTGGTTCAGCAGAAAACATGATTGCTTAAAGGCACCGCACCAGCATGTCAACACTTTGCTTTCCACACCAGATTTTCCCAGGCTGAGAACAAATTATCTTCTCCCCGGTGGACCGACCTCTTGGGAGTTCAGGTGCCGATTTATCTCAATCAGACAAACCTCGCTGGTAGAACTAAATAAAAACAGTTTCATCCTCTGTGTTCGCTCCTTCTCCTTTGGATGCTACGAGGCCTTGTTTATCTCCTTTTAAAAGGATGCATTCCCAGCCCAGTCTGCTCTGATTGGTTGGCTGGCCGGCTCTAGTGTGATTGGTCAACTGCTTAGAGATGTCCCGCCCCTTAGCCTTTCACCTACAATGTGTTGGGGCGTTAGCCAATAGAAGCACAAGTGTTACATAATGATGTCATTAGGAGGCCAAAGTATCGGTGGTCTGAAATATGGAGGATCTGGAAAAATACCCCAAAAATACCAATATGTTCCGTAAGTAAACAAAGGAGTCCACTGTAGGTGATTTAAGCAGGGATTTTAGCCTTTGCAGACCATTTACATGCATTAAAAACCTATATAAAACACTACAGGAAAGGGAAAAGCCCAAAAAGCGTATTAGGGCCCCTTTAAGTGACACTTGCTTCCTGTCAATTAACTGACAGAATTTGAGCTTGCCACTTAATTATTGACCCTTCTCATCCCAGGGTCTTCTTACTCACTTGTTCTTGAGCTTTTGGCCATATCACATTGTTCCAAGCAGATGATTGAGTTTCCTCAATTGTCGGGGAACAAAACTCCTGCAGCCACAGCTCTGCACGTGCACACTTTGACCTAACATGCTGATGTTAAACAGGTAAAATGTTCACCATAGCCCCAGTGGACAAAAAAAAGCCTACTAACATCTGTTTTTTGTCTTTTGGTGGGAAAGGTTACAATAGGCATTCATTCCCGGGACAGATGACTCTGCAGTAGGAAACATGACACCATGGCGGTCATGTTCGTCCCTTTTCCAACGCTTAGCTATGACACGTTTTAATGTGGGTAATGTATAAAACCCGCATAGAGTTGGCCAGTTAATTTAAATCATTATTGTAAAAAAACATACAATGAATATGTCCCCCTTAAAGTCACCAGACTCAAGTCAGACAACAGTTATTTGATATTATTGTTAAACTTTATTCAGTCTAAATAACTAATCTAAAATTTCTTTGTTAGTGTTCCAAAATCACCAACTCTGGTTGAAATGTTTAAAAGAGAGACTGAATGAGTTAAAGATGGAAAATATAAGCAGGAGCTCTGTGGTTTCAGATTCGAAACCTTAAAGCCTACAAACTGCAGCTGGTTTTTTCTTGTATCCACTCATCTAAATGCATCTGTATGAAATGGCTTCTCCTGGTATTATATCTGCCCTTCCACAAAAAAACACCGCCTAAATTTGTCTCTGCCCTTTTCACACAGAGGACATGACGGCGAGGCGAACCGCAGCAGATGGCCCCAGATAAAAAAAGAAAAAGGCTTCCTATTCTCACAGACTGCTAATTAGAGCCCAAACCACAGCTCACCTTTAATGTCAGCCACAGACTGCTTTCAGCGCAATTAGCCTAATGGGGTCCGGGCCTGTGAAGAGCTGTAATGTTTAGCATTGCTCTGCAGTTTAAAGCACGTCAAAATGAAGGACAAGAGGGGTGTAATGCAGGAGAAGAACCCATTTATCACCGCAGACTTACACCATGCTCACCCAGACAAACTATTTAATTAGATGCATTAATAATTGAACTAATTAGCTCCCATGCGTCTGGCAAATGAAGAGGGAACCCGGAGCTTCACTTGCACCTCATCAGCTGATTAATTAGTCGGTTGATCGTTAGCTGTCTTGACGGCCTATGTGCGATCAGATGAGAGGACGGATAATGAGGGAATTGTCGCTCGATGGTGCTGGTTAATTAGTGTGACCTGAACCAGGGGCCATGTTAGAACAGTTGTTTATTCCACTGCTTCTAATGAGGAGGATTTTAGGCGCGGGTGATCTATTTGCAAAGCAGGATGCAGGGTTGTTTATGGACTGGCCTTGAAACTACCCATCCTTATTCTCTCTATAATGTTCCAATAATCTATCCGCAGGGACTAATGAAGTGTCTGTGGGGATAAAGATTTACTTTAAATAATGACCTTAGGATAGTTTGTGGTGTTTTGATTCCTAAATCCTCGATATAGTGATTTACAGCAGCTCTAGGACCCACTAGTGAGGTCCTATTTAGATTTAATGCTATTTCTTTATTATTCTACTGATAATACATGGCCCTGGAAGTCTGTGGGGGGTCTTTTAATAAGTGCGTCACTTTTTATCTTGGCTGCTGCTAAGGATTTAGCTTGGCAAATCCAATCTTTCCACACCGGCCTCTACAAGGGTGGGATATCAGCCCGAAAATAGGAAGCAAAAGCTAACAAACTAAAAGATTGTTATGAAGATAAGTTGAGTGAGTGAGTTCACTGTTTTGGACGTAACAAAATGGATGTTATTTGTCAATACAGGAATACAAAGACAGCCAGACTAAGCTAACTCCTCAGATGAACGAAAGTTATTCCATAATTCATTAAAGGTTACCTATTATGCAAAATCCACTTCTTCATGTCTCTTCTACATCAACATGTGTCCCCTCTGTGTAAAGAGACTCTGAATGTTTCAGGAAAAAAAGATTCTCTCTCTTTTTGTCCTGATCCATTTATATAAAAACCTGTCTGAGCTGATCAGACTTTGGCCACTTTATGATGTCATAAACAGAGGGGATTATGGGATGCTGCAATGAACTGTTTGGTGTTTGGAGCCAAACACTTCAGAGACATGTTTTGTATATATCTGAGACATTTTTATTATGGTAGTGAAACTGAAATATTTTAGGTTTGTTTAAGTTATTTGAAAAAACTATTCCTTACAACAATGAAACCTCCACCCCTCCACTCTTATCAAATTGGTACGGTCTAACTCCCATACACTTTAAAGCCTCCATGTTTAAAGCCTATTGGATGCTCTCACTTCCTGGTTTGCAGTTTGGACACCAGCAGGTAAAAAGGAGTGGAGCTCATTCACAAACATTTTGGTTATTAAAACTGAAATATAATCAATAAACTAATGTAAGTGGAATATAATAATGAATGAATTGAGATCTTATTTCATATACAATGTTACTGGTGACAGTACACATTGAAATGATCTGAAACTACTTATGTTTGCAGAGTAGCATGCTATACCCACATGTAAAGAATGCCATTAAAAGGCCAGGTGACAGACTCCAAACACTCAGTGGAATCTGGGTTAGTAGCATACAGATTTGGGACATGAGAGTATATAATACAGGTACAGAAAGAGAGAAGTAAGGTGTCCCCAGACAGTCTAATGGCGCTTTTCCACTGCAGGGCCTCGCTCGGCTTAGTACGGTATGTCTAGGACTCGTTAGACCTTGTTAGGCCTGGCTCACTTTGTTGCTGCGTTTCCATTACAGTTTATTAACTGGGGTAGTATCCATAGTAACGCAGTGTAGGCAGAGCCGTGACGTCATCTTCAATGCGAAACACAAAACCAAAATCAGCCCTCAGAGCTCACATCTCCTCATATCTGTTCAGAAACTAGACAAAAGATAAACAAGTACAAACCACAGACTGTCTGTGTCATGGCGAATACAGTCGCTGGTTTATTTATGTCTGTAGGCCGTTGTTGTGAGTGTGGACGAAAGCATACTGCGTTAGCTTAGACGATCTCCATTCAGAAAACACGCATTTTAAAAGGCTTTTCGCCTGCCATCTGTCTGCAGACTAGTCAAAGCATTAATTCATGGTTTTTACTAACCGGTATCAGTATGTTGTTACTTCGGCATCATTTTTGAAACGTGTATTACAATTTTTAAATCACGGTCGAATAAGTTCATTTTGTTGTAGTTGCCAGCGATTCTCTCTCTAGTTTAGCATACTCAGCCCGGTTGTTGGCCTGGAAAGAACCTCGATTTAGGAGAGCCAGAAAAACTGTGAAAAAGTACCCGCTAGTGGAAACGCAACCAAAAACGGGCCGGGCACGGCACGCTTAAATCGCGCTGTAGTGGAAATGCACCATAAGCCTATAGCAGCAAAACTAGGGGCTGATTGAGCCAGCCCTAACTATAAGCTGTATCCAAAAGGAAAGTCTTAAGCCTACTCTAATTTAGAGGGTGTCTGCCCCCTTTTATTTGTAACAGAGGAAGTAAAAGATCTTCTTCCAACACTGTCTTTATAATAACACTGTCTTTAAATCACAAATATATCTAAGAAGGTAATATTCATACACAAAAGATTAACACATTGATTTTTAGCATTTGTTTTGTTATATTTCAATAAATATCATACACTAACCGCATGACACACTGAACTTTAGTGTCCTGTATGGCATTTTGTATTAGTGTACTCTTACCCTGCACCTGTACAGGCTTTGTTAACACTCTATTCTATAATTAGAATCAAAACAAACACAACATATATTATTCAGAAACGGGCAAATCTGCATAAGGAGTACTTTTACTTTTGGTACTTTAAGTATATTCTGATGCTAATACTTTAAAGGAATGGGTAGGCAAGAATGGAGAAACCAGCTCGAGTGCGCTAGAAAGTACACAGCCGAAAAAAATCTGCCACTTCCTTACAGAGCCCCTCCTCCAACACACACGAACGCGCACATGACCAATGAGGGCACGAGATAAGTTTGTGCACGAGATGGAAGGCTGACCGGCAGGTAGGCCATCCAGTTACTTTAGCCGGACCGGCTCAGATGATTCGTCGTGCTTTTTACAGCGCCACGGCTTACACAGATGAAATGTTTGTATATATTTATTGTCAAAGCATTTAATGTATTCATTGCTATCGGGATTTTAAGAGCATTCCATGGAATATAGCTAAAAGTGTTTCTGAAGTGAATTACCTATACCCTACCTTTTTAAGTAACATTTTGAATACAGAGTATTTCCTACACCCTGGTACCTGGTACTAGGCTACTTAAGTACAAGATAAGAGTACTTCTACCACCTCTGTGTATCCAAAGAAAAGAAAGAAGACACACAGTGCACAGGAACATTAACACACTGAACTCAACCCACGGTAAGCTTGCATCTGTCGTGCAGAGGCCGGGCTGTGCCTGCATGGCGCCCCAGAGATAATTGGTGTCCTTGGAGTTGAATAAGCTCATTCTAAAGCACCTCAGGCCCGTCCTAGTGTGTGACTGTCTATTGAATAATTGATTCCGAGAGGGAGGGGGCGGGCACTATCAGATCTGAGCATAATGACTTTATATAATTAGCACGCAGCGTTGAAGAAAAAAAAAAACATTTGACTGGGAGTTTTTTTTTGTTGCAGAGGGAGGAGGCAGAGAGAGGAGGTTCAGTTCTCAGAGCCGCAGCCTGCAGACACACATGCTTCTGCTCTGACATCAGCGCAGATAAGACGCACAGCCTCTCCGGATCTCAGCACATCTCTCCTGCAGGCAAGGTGATACCCGGGGACGCTTTGCATCCATCCGCCGGGCTATTTTTATTCATTTTAAGACCCAGAAAACGCGTTTCTGTGGCGGTTTTTCCTCTCTTTGGAGTAATGAGTCGCGAAGTTTGAGCCCCTGTTTCCCATCGCTCTCGGGGTCTTATCTCCTGTTGGTGGATTGTTGTTTTCCCCAGAAAGCATGGTGCTGGACAAGGAGGAGAGTAAGTACTGAGCGCTGAGATAGTGCCTTTCTGTTCAGCGGTTACTCCCCCTCTCTATGTAGGACAGCAGCCAGCGTTTAGAGGACTGAACGGTTGTGTGTAACTCTGCTACAAGACTGAATTAACATTGAGATGTCAGAACAATTATTTGAACGTCAGTTAGTCTGTGAAATACTTTTATTTAGATGAATAATGACACTGTGTACCAACAGGAAACTACTGCTGTGTTCTTATTATGGTTTTATGTCGTCCTCGATATGTTATTATTTCACTCTGATATAGATCTATGTTTGAATAAAGTGAAAGTGAAGACATTATGTAGTCCAACTATGACCTTAAACACATTTTTCCAAGTGTTATTGTCCTATTTAGGGTTTAGCCGTTTGCATTAACTGTGATTTAATGTGTGCTATTCCACCGTGACTTTATTATGTATAACATGTTTTCTTAGCATTGTATCTCCAGTGGTGAAATACAACAAGTACTGTACTTAGGTAAAGTACAAGTACCTCAATTATTTACTTGAGTATTTTCACATTATGCCACTTTATACCTACTGTATGCTCCCCTACATTATGTGTTGCATATTTCATTAAGTTTTAAAACCAAGCAGTAAAAACGAAATGTGAAGCATTGTATCATTTTCAAAGAAATGTAACCATTAACATTTTTTTCGAAATCAATAATACATTAATATATATTGTGTGTTTGTTTGTAGCCTTTATTTAACCAGGTGAAAGCCCCTTGAGATCAACATATCTCTTTTTCAAGGGTGACCTGCAGATTGTTATAGTTTAAGCTACCCAGTAGTATATCAAGTAATTGAAATAAGCCCCACTTTTACCAATGATGAACACATGCATCAATAATTATAGTATGGTGCCTAAATTCTGCACAATGAGTTATTTTACTTTTCGTACTTAAAGTGTATTTTGATGGTAATACTTTTCCTTAAATACAATATTAAATGCTGGACATTTAATTGTAACTGAGTATTTGTACACTGTAGTATTAGTACTTTTACTCAAGTAAACAATCTGATAACTTCTCCCATTGATCTGATCTCCTGTGTGAAGCTTTCTTTGATTCCTATTTTCAATATCCTTAGAGTGGTTTATAATGATCAGCTTTCTGATTGTCCTCTCCAATCTTTGTCTCCCTGCTGTTTGAATCCTCCAGGTGTGTCTCTCGTGTCCCTCCAGTCCAGAGAGAAACCTCGAGGATGTGCCGGCTGTAACGGCAGGATCCGGGACCGCTTCATGCTGCAGGCGCTGGACCGGTTCTGGCACGAGGACTGTCTGAAGTGCTCCTGCTGCGACTGCCGCCTGGGCCGCGTCGGATCCACGCTCTACACCCGGGCCAACCTCATCCTCTGCCGCAGGGACTACCTCAGGTAACATCAACATTCAGAGGCTTTATTCTCTTATTGCTGTTAGTGTACAGTTTATTATTATGCTGCTGTGTTTATTGTATTTTTGTAACTCTGGCACAACAATTTCCTTCGAGATAAATAAAGTCCTCTTGTCGTATCTTATGCACCGCAGATACAGTGTAGTTATGGCAATGCAAATCTTAAATCCCAGGCTCCTTCATCAATGGGAAATATATATATATGACATAAACAAAGAAAACAATAAGAAATAGTGCAAGAAGAAACAGAGAATTCTGCAACTGACCAATGTGCCGGCATAAGAAGCAAACTATATACATGTCAAACAGAATAGGATGAGCTAAAAACAGAATGAAAAAGTGAATACTGTACAAGGATAAAAAAACTGCTTATTGTAGAAATAAATTACATTTGAAATGCGAACAGATGAAAGCTTATGAAGCCCTCTACAGGTGCATCTGGACTTTAAGGAGTATTTCACCCCCAAAATGACCAAATGTTTATCAATGACTCATCCTGAACTACTAATTCTTGAAGAAATGTTTGTTTTTCTTCCATGCTTCTACGATACACGAAGGATCCAAAAATGTACAAGAGTCGTGGTGAATAGAAGTAAATGGCGGCTGCTTTTAACAACAGCAGAACTATATACAAATATTTGTTCACCAACTCTCACACCACTTAAAGCTAAACTGTTTAATCCAAGGCTTATTTATGCAGTCCTATGCTTACTACTTCCCAAACACATGCATTTTCACGTAAACCCTTGCTAATTGAAACACTTTTCCTGCAGAAGTTAATTCACTGTAAAGGCATGCAAGAAAAGTTGTTTTTGAGAATTCAAGGTAACACTGGGTTAGTAATTGATATATATATGTTCTTGTTGGGGGTGAAGAATTCCTTTCAAGATATAAAAGAAATCAAGCTTGAAAACAAATCTTAAAAACTGCTGTTGCCATCATAGAAGCGAAGTGCTGAGTTTGCAGTATGTTAAATAATGTTAAAGTAGATACAGTATCAGATTGAAAGAGCTAGATCCACTCAGGATAAACAGCCTGATATTGTAGGATATTAGAGAGACTGTAGGAACAGAGATTTTAATTTGAATCTGAGAGCCACCTATTTACCACCCAGCAGAAACTGAAAAATGAAAGTGTGCAGATTTGTAACTTGTACAAGGACAGCTGTAGACACGAGTGAGAAGTCAATGTTTTACATGAGAAACAAAGACATTTATGCATGTACCGTTTCAACACAACAGCTTTCAGTTAACTCCTTGAACATAAACGACCCTTACTATCTTTTGTCAACTCAGATTAAACGCTGCTGAACCTTCAGGCGAATTTAGGAAAGCTTTTTTTTCTCACAGGGTGTGTCATGTTTCTGAGAGATTTTACACAACAAGTCCAAGCAAGTTTTACCCGTGATTTAATAAGCTTGATTCATCATACTGGGACTCTGCAGTTTGTATTGAAGTCCTTAATGGACACAGTATTAACGTTTTCATCTTATAATACCTGCAGGGTTTAACTTGTGTTGTTGTTGGACGTGTGGTTGGCTGCGGGATTCGTATTGAAAAGAAAGCATTTTGCATACTTCTGCTCTGCTTTCTATCATCATTGATTCTTTTAACTGACATTTGATGCAAATTTGTTGACATTAAAGGTGAAGCTAACACAAAGTAAGTAGAGAAACACTCATTTAGTATTGCAACAATCCCATGCTTTTAACATGTTGAGGAATAGTTTCAAACTTTTTGGGAAATGCATTAATTTGCTTTATTTCAGCGAGTCGGATCAGAAGTTTTTTCATGTTGTGCAGTAATTATGAAACTCCAGCCGGCACTCAGTTAGCTTAGCTTAGCATAAAGACTGTGGAGGCGTGTGGCGCAGTGGGTTAGTGTGTTCGGATCAGGGGAGCACAGGTTCAAAACCCACTGCAGTCAGCATGTCGTTGTGTCCCTGAGACACTTCACCCCAAATGGCTCCTGTGGGGATTGTCCACAGTATTGAGTATGTATGTCGCTTTGGATAAAAGAGTCTGACAAGTGACATGCAATGTAATGTAATGACTGAAAACAGAGGGAAGCAGCTAGCGTTGGGTCTGTTTATCCCCATTTAAAGGTGGGGTTATTTCTTGGACTGTTTTGGCCAGGATCAGTAAATTCCTGGAGTCTCTTTTCTGAATTGTAATTTTTTTGCCTGTCCTCGTAAAACTAAACTGAATCCTCAATTACTATTTGAGGGAGACATTTTCTGTCCTGGATTATTGATTGATAATATAAGTGTATGAGGTGAATACCTGAGTTTGTGTCCAGTTTGAAACCATGCCTCAATATTCACTTACAGTACATTAATATTTATACATCCTCAAGGTAAATGACGTAACAACCTTCTTTTTCAAACCCAATTCATGATTTTTTGGCTTACCTAACAAAGTAGTTTTGTGGCATTTATATTTAGTTTTCGTCCAATTTGCATTGCTCACCATGAGTTTAAAATGGCGACCTTAATCCGGGACATATTTTGTTTCATTTTAGCAGTTTAATTGCATAGGGATGTAATTATGTAGGAGATAGGGTTGCATTTTAACACCGTGTTAAACAAACAAGACACATAATGATTTCTTTAGGGATCATTACAGGTAAGCCGATGTTGTTAGCCTTAGAGAAGGAAGGCTGTTATCCCCTGTCCTTTACGTTTAAACAAGCTAAGCTAACTGTCTCCTGACTCCATGTTTAGTAGTATCATGTTCCTAAATTCTGGTTAACTGTATCTTTAAGTACATTTGTCGTAGTTAAGAACATATCCCTCTGGAGTGTCTGTTTGAATTATCTTCCACTTTAATGGGGGCAGGAGGTCCATAACACTTCACACACTCTTAAGAAACTCTTCAGATAAAGATCAATGTTTAAGATTGTCTAAACTCCACCTCTAATGCCTGTGGATCACCGCAAATGAATGTATGTTTTAAATACAATGCAGTGTTTTGACCATGGACACCACTTTCTCACAAACCCAAACGCCGGCTCTAACGGCCCCTCTGAGTTATGTAGCCTTCCTTTTCTTGCCTGAAATAACGACGTCTGGTGTCAGGTCAGCAGGAGAACTCCTGATATCTCAGCCACATTGCTGAACTCATGTGTTAGTCTCATGTACACTCCAGCTGGATTTGGTTGGAGCTAAGTCTCTCATTAGCTGCGCTGCACTTAAGAGACTAAAACCCCTTTTGACAGTTAAATTGGCTAGATTGCCTCCTGTTTTCCTCATCATCGCGAGTGTGCAGACCAAAAGCCTTTGAAGGGCAGGATTAAAACCATGTGATTTCTTTTAATTGGACCATTAGTAGAGAATTAGCATTGAGCTGCGTAGCCTCGTTAAGGAGGAGGAAAAAACCCCACCAGGTGCTCAGGACTCGGCCTCGTTAGATCAGAACATTTCTCTTAATTAGGACTCGCTTTTGTTCCCGCGTTGGTCACTCGTTTGATGACGTTCTTTCATTTGTCGTCCCGAGCTCTGGGAGACACATGCTCTCTCTCTCTCCACCCTGCTTTTTTCAGGGATGTCATTGTTCATAGCTAGTCCTCCCAAACCCCCCTTTTCATCTACTGGAATATGGCAGTGGTGGAAAAAGTATTCAGATTCTTCACTTGAGTAAAGTACTAATACCACATTGTTAAAATACTCAACTTCAAGTACAAGTTCTGCTTCGAGAATGGTAAAAGTAAAGTATTCAAGTAGGATTAAAGTATTAGGTGTAAAACTATTTTTCGGAAGGGGATGAATAGGAAATATTTTTAGTCTGTTCGGGGGCTTGAACCGGCGATCCTTCAACTCCCAGTCCAAGCCCCTACTGACTGAACCAATGCCAGACATTTTCTAAAGATATTTAAATATGTTAAATCAAAAGCAGCAAATCTTCATAATTAAAAAGCTGGAAATGTGAAATGTTTTTGAACAAAAACTATTGTAATTAATTTCCTGTTAACCGACTCATGGTTTTAGTTACTTTAACATAATGTCGGATGCTTTAATCGATACCAAATAATCATATTCTAAAAGTCTCTCCTATAAGTATTATGTTTGAAAATCTGAATTTAAAAAGTATCTAGTAAATACATCTGTACAATTAATGTAGTGGAGTAAAAAGTACAAATTGTAGTATAAAATGAAAATATTCGGGTAACATTCAAGTACCTCAAGTACAGTACTTGAGTAAATGTACTTGGTTACTTACCACCACTGGAGCATAATGTAATGTTCATCGTCAGACCCTTGAGAGCTGTTTGTTTGTTCTTCTGGAGGTGAATGGGAGGTGAAGCAATCTGCAGCTGGTCAGCTCTGAGTCACAGAGCATTCAAACACAACACAGGGTTTGTTCTCAGGTAGCTTGAGGACATTACGTTCAAATGTGTTGGATGAATTGTTAGTTTCAGAAGAGTGCCTGTAATAAGGGCGGACTAAAGCCCCCATGTGGCACTTAAATAAGTGACATTTCCATATAAAACTTGACATTTTCATATCAGTGAATCCTATTTTGGCTGCTCTCTATCAGCAGCTGATATAATGGAAAAATGATATCCAGCTTGTGAAAGCTATTACATTTGACACAGAAATCCCCTGGTTCACAGCAAGTGAAGCATTTAAAGTCTCCTGCAGCAACAACAGAAATGTGTTTATAAAAGATCTTTGAAAGTCCTGCATTACTGAGTCCATCGTTTCAACATGTGAGCGTTCGCACTCAGATTATTCTGCATTTCTAACACTTTAATCACATCATGTAGACCAATGGAGCCTCAATTAGCCATGCTCACATACCTTTCCAAAAAGGTTCTACATGTGACTCCAGCTCTCTCTGAAACATGCACAAATACGCATTACGTGAAAGCACGAATGCTTATTTATAATATGTCGAATATCAATAATTGATACATGTCTGCAGCCCAGATGTGTTCGCTGTACTGGCTGAATGAAAGGAAGGAAGATTGAAGTTCCTAGCAGGCAGCTAACGATGCTAACAGCAAAAACAGGGATGCTATTAAACAAAGCTATTTTATGATGACTTTGAAATGTTGTACATGCGTGATTCTTGCTGCTCTGAATTTGTATTGATTGCACTTTTTTAGTTGCTCTGGACAAAAGTGTCACCTAAATGAATCAGAATTGTTTTTGTTCGTCCCGCAGCGGGAAAACGTATAGTGCGGATTATAGGAGAAGACTTGCATATGATGTAAAAAGTAGGGCTGCTCAATTAATCGTATTTTAATCGCAATTACGATTATGGCTTGCAACGATTACGAAAACAACTTAATCGAAATATAATGATTATTATTTTACTATTCATTTCTTTTTTTTTTCAGTTGAGTTATACTTAAAGTTCAGGGTAATGAACTGTTAAAAACATACTGTTAAAAAAAAAATTCTCCAATAAATTGATGTTTTCAAAGTAAATGGATAATCGTTTTTAATAATCGTGATATCAATTATTGACCCAAATAATCGAGATTATGATTTTTGCCATAATCGAGCAGCCCTAGTAAAAAGGCAAGCCCACGTTACTACAATTATAAAAAATAAGTATTCAAAAACAAGTAGTAGCAGTATTTAACATAGGAAATGTAAAGTAATGTTATCTCTGAGCGGCCGTTGGCTAGCTAGCACAGCTAATAAACTTGGACTCGCATGCATGCGGGGCCAGACTAGCTTTAAAATGTAAACAAAGCACAAAGAAGCTTGTATTACAAAACAAAACAATCCCTTCAACGCCTCAAACTAATTAAAACAGAAAGCAAAACCACCCCACAGTTTTCTTGAAAACATTTGTATTTCGGGGGCGACTGTGGCTGTGATAATCATAACGAGTCATCACAACATTTTTGGTTTGAAGTCAAATGTCTCCACAACTACTGGATAGATTGCTTTGATATGTGGTTCATACTAATTCCCCAAAGGAAATGTATCCTACTCCTACTCAGAATTACAACTAAGGGGCTATAGGGAATGTTTCCTCCCGCTTGGCTGCTCTTAATTACGTACAGCATCCATACAATATGATGCAAGCTCTGCATTAGCAGCAGCAGCAATAACCCATCAATAATCTGTAGGAAATGCAGTTGTTGAACAACTTTTCTGCTGTTATTTCAGTGTCTCCCTCTTTAGCTCTTGGGTGAAATGTATTTTAAGTGCGCCCAGACTACAGGTCTGCTTGTCGCCCTCTTCCCTCTCAGGCTCTTCGGGGTGACGGGGAACTGTGCAGCCTGCAGTAAGCTGATCCCTGCCTTTGAGATGGTGATGAGAGCCAGAGACAACGTCTACCATTTAGACTGCTTCGCCTGTCAACTCTGCCGCCAGAGGTAAGATTAGGGTAGCAATTAGCCGGGGAGATCAAATTCAGTTGACTTATCTTCGAGGTGCACTAGTGAGTGAGCTCACCGGTCATTACGAGCATACCAGCGATGCATTGTAAGCAGAAAGTTTACTGCACTTTTAAACCCTGTCGGAGTTAAAGATGGTTAATCAGCAAGCAATCATGCAAGATTAATTTGGCCTGAGATGCTCCACTGGGAACTCATGATTCAGATCCATATTTCTATATTCCCTCTCTGCAGATTCTGCGTGGGAGACAAGTTTTTCCTCAAGAACAACATGATCCTGTGCCAGCTGGACTACGAAGGAGGCCATCTTAATGGCAGCACGGAGAGGCAATGAGAGGTAATATTCAGATGTCGATGAGTTACGGTCTCGGCAGCTGCTCTGACAGCTTGAACTAAAACATGCACCGGGATATCTGGAAGATATACAAGTGAGCTCACAAAGCTCATCCCAAATATGACCATATGTAGACATCAAACCCAGAGGCTGCGGACACTATCATCCATGTGAAGCATATTATCTTTGAAGAAGCATTACGTTTAGTCTGGATGTTCAGTTGGAAGGTGATGAATGAATCCATATTTGCTGACATCTAAAGCTCATATAAAGAAGGCTTAGAATCAGATGTGTCTAATTTATTACTGCTTTAAGATCTAATCTGTCCCCTATAATCCGCTCAATGAAATGGTTATGACACAAAGAGTAAACTCGTACAGATAATGACCCGACTCTGCAGCTTGACAGCGGTCAATATGTGTTCTCCCTTGAAGAATCCCATGCTGAGGCTGGATAGATAAATACGAATGTCAAATATGCAGTTTTTCTACGGAGATCAAATATTTCAAAACAGTTGCCTCTCATTGGAAGCCAATGATTTGCCTACAGCTTTACATATGAATAGAAAGCCTTCTTCATAAGCAGAGAAATACATCAGATAGGAGAGAGCAGTCGTTGGCTGTGAGGGCAGATGTGAGAAGGGTGAAAGCAAGTGCAGCAGACTCCACACAATCCTCAATTAAAAAGGTTTCAGGGAGCCCTCTATCATTATGATACTAACAGGCAGGGTTCTTACGGTCATTACAAACCTGGAAAAGTCATGGAAATTCAAAATGCTAATTCCAGGCCCTGGAAAAGTTATGGAAAACAATGTTTTTCCCAAAGTTTTGGAAAAGTCATGGAAATGTAACTAAAGTTGCATCAAATATAATTTATATTTTATCTAATCGCCGAAATAGTATTACTGTAACGATAATAAATACTGTATCGTATAGTACTTTGCTGGAGAGAGATTTTAGTTGCTTTAGCGTGTGGAAGCTAGTAAGTACTATTTGTTTTAGATAGGCACAACATGTTTCATATGCAGACCTTATTTTCCTGTTCCATGTTAAAACAAACCATTTTCAGTGGCACCGCTGAGAAAGAGTAATTTGTTTGGTCATGGAAAACTCATTGGTGAAAAAGTGTATGAACCCTGAACAGTACAACTACACTTCACATCATTCAAAACACCACGCTGGACAACGGATGTGGAAGTGGTGACTTTTACCATTTTTGCTGGCTTCCAGAGTTCATGTTTAAACAGCTTTTTAGAAAACTATTTAACTTTTTATCATAAAAATCACGACACATTTCAACTTCACCAACTCTGGAGGTTTCATTACATTTTATGATTAACTGAGGTGCGACATGAAGCATCTTTAAATGTCATTCGCTGTATATTTTCTTTGGACAGCGTTAAATGGAAGTCTCCTTTTTATAAATGTGGCTCCAGTGAAGGTTTCCTGGATCCAGACGCTGAATCTCTTTCCAACTCTTCTCTCAAGACTCAAATAGCTCTGTTGATCTTGGATGTTCTTGTAGATTTATATAAGCTTTTGTCAAAATACTTTTAAATGTGGCCACTGGACCACTGCTTTTTATATATGTGTACTTTGCTTGGTTCCTGCCCTTCTTTGATGATAGAGTAACTTGTCTGACCTGACCTTCAGGGTTACATGAGGATAGAGAATTAACATAATGACATAATGATATGAACAATCTGACTCTGCATTAGAAATAACATTTTAATTAATAAAACAACATGTAAGGTTTCCTTGTGCTTGACAAGACTTTGATTCTACTGTCAACTTTTATTCAACACTATAACTTGATTTAATCAGGTAGTTTTTAATAGAATAAATACAATAAAATATGGGTCTTCAGGGTGACTGCGGGGTCTTAAAAGTTGATAAATCAATTTAGCGAAAATGAAGGCTATTAAAAAGTATTAAACAGCATTTTCCAAGGTATTACATTTTGTAGCTTGTTTCCAATAAGTATATAAATGGTCCAAAGAGGTTGTATTCTACAGTCTGCCTGAATGTAATCATTGCGTAGGTGTGTAGTGTGATTCTGTGGAGTTTATTTATGGCATCCCGTTGGGTTTGACGTCATCTGAACAGGATATCGCACGCTCACTGCTTGATAGCGCGCAAAGGTCCGTTTACGCCGGTTGTTAAACAACATCGTTATGGGGAAATGCAAGTTTGCGTCCAAATGGTTGGAAGATAAGGAGGAAGGACAATCAATACTGTGTATAGTAAAGTGTGTCGCCAAGGTAACGGGTTAGAACTCCCAGTGGCGATGAGGTCTTAAAATGTATGGAAAGGGTCTTAAAAAAGGTCTTAAAAGATTTTACATTTGACTTCAGGATTCCTGCATATACCCTGTGTTAACACGTAACAATAGAGGAACAAAATACAAT